GACCTCCCATAAAGTAGACGCTTTCAGAGAAACGCAGCCAGGAGGAGGGAATTTTCCCAGCCATGGTCTTCTTATAACTTATGGTGGATGAAGGAAAAGTTACGAAATGCCGGGCATTAACAAATGAAAATGGCGTACACGTTCCAAGAAGTTCTTTTTGTTTTGCCTTTCTTGGGCAAGTCAGTCATCGTTAACTAAAGCTATCATCGCCTAAATGCTGTCTCGCTTGATTTCAATCATTTTAAAACATCAGCACACGAACTGCTTTGGAACACTTAACAGCAATAACTAAATCTGTACAAGTAGTGGCCTCTCTGCTCGTAAAATTTCCTGCTGAAATCATTTTTGCTCATCATTAATGCCAAATATTACGACCACATAATGAATTAATAATGAAATATTATATCTCTAATTCTGAATTATATATTTCTTTGAACACAAAATTATCAAGACTATAAATTCAACCAGCCAAATTCTGCTGTTATTTGTCCAGACGTTATAGTGATAGGGAATCACACATATATTTATTTCAAATATGCATGCAAACAATCGCTAATTAAATAAATAAAAATCAGTCATATTACTTATTTATATTACTTCATATTTATTCAAAAAATAAATAAAAATACGAAAAAAAATATGGCGTCGAAACGTTACGGCGTCGAACTGCCCCGGCGTCGAAACGACCTGCTTTGCTGGGCTCGAATCACGGAGAAAGAATGGCTGCAACTGTCCGTCCCTTCATAGAAGGTAACGGTGGCCCTCCTGTTAGGTGCTTCCACAATAAATGGGCCACAACTTCCGGCCTTAGCAGTGGTCAAGCCTAAGTCGACTTAGTGTGAATCCCTTCCCGCCAGTGGAGAGGGATTCACAGTGATTTATGATCTAACTGAACTCAGTTTAAAAAAATGGAATCATTTTAAGATTGCAGAAGTTTTAGGTACTTCTTTTTCCCAAAATTGCCTCCTCCGCGCAGTGGTCGAGTGGTTAAAAGCGCTGAATGCTGAGAGTTCGACTCGGGTTTGATCCCAGGTGAACGAGCTAGCTGTAAGGTTTTTTCGTGGCTTTCCTCATGTACAACGTGGATGTGAACCAGTTTCTCTTAGTTCTCCACAAAAGCATCTCTCTGGCAAATAGCTCTTTTGCGTTATTCATGTAACCTAACCTAACTCAACCTTTCTAAAATTCTTGATCAAAAGCATACATATAAAAGAACTTGGGTTTACTCCGTCAAGTGAATCACTGATTCCCAACGCGCTCAACCCGCACATTTCTCTCCTAAGCTGAAATTAAAAAATTTCTTCCAGCTGTCAAATCTGAGAATTTTTAATGAAACCTACGCAATCGTGTGTTTTACTAATTTTGGAGATAACGAGCTGCCGTTGATGTTAGAAACAATTTGTTCCAAAATATCTTGTCTTCTTCCAGTGCGGCTCAGGAAAGCTAAACGTTTTGACACCTTAGGCATACATTAAAACTTGTGTTATTATTTTTTTCTAAATTTGATCCTGTAACTTCGAATATCGTATCTTCTTCGCAGACAAAAGTCATCGAGTTGCTGGTTACTCAGCGATAAGGATCGCAGTTCAAAAGGTTAATGTATCAGTACACCCTATTAGAAAACAATCCCAAACACGCCAGAGGTGACTCAACAACTCAATTCCACAAATATCTCACAAAAGGTAGATGCTGTCAATCAATCAATACCATTGTTCCTCCCACCCGTTTCGGCTGACAGCACCAGCCTGACTGCTACAATACCTATTCTGTCTGTCTCTTGCGCAGGAAAAGTGTCTCTGCGGATCCTCCCACGCAGGCCTCTCTTTAAACAAAAACCTCAAGAAACAATACAACATTCTAGCCAGACGGAAGAATGAAGTACGTGTGTGCACCCAACTGCCAACAGCCCCACGTCACACCATCTGATAGGGGTGGACATGCCAGACAGTCATTCTTGACAGGACCCGCCGCCAGGTGGCCCGCAATATCCAGTTACTACAGTATCGAGAACACGCTAATTGTTATTCCCGGATAGTGGTGGCGACGTGGGTGTTCAATGTTTGAACGTGGAATGTGGACATTTCTGACGTTTCTGTTTGATCGATCCTGTGGAACATGAGAACGAAGGTTATCGAGAACATGGTGGCAGAGGGCACGACAAGCAAAGGCTAGATATCACAAAAAAATAAATAAATAAAAAATTCCTGACTCCCCCAAAACGCAGGAGAAATAAAAGGAAAAAAAATATATATAAGATAACAGCGTAGCTTTAATTATTCTTTGTGGGAGCATGATTAGAAGAAGAAACAAAGGAATTTGTCTCTTAATTTGTAACACTTCACGCAACATTTACAGTAGTCAAAAAATTAGATCCATAATTCTTTATTTCAGTGTCACTTCTACCGCTTTGCTTTAACACATACTACTTCAGAGGGAAAAAACAGCTGATTTCAAATTACGTTTTAAATATATGTTGTTGTAGTACACAGATAAATGTTTTCCACTAAAAATCAAAATTTCAGGTTCATCTTCGCATTCAAATACCAATTTAACATTTTAAAAAGTTACAGTTCCATTTAACATTTTAAACAGTTACAGTTACAATGTGCTCATTAGTTCAAAAAAGAATTCTCAAACACTCAGACTACATAACATAAATCTGTATATTTGAAATGAACAAACATTTAAATGACTTATTCAGTGTAACAATGCCAAACAATCGGGGAGGGGGGATTCCAAACGGTATTATTCGATCATAAATTAGTGCAATTATTAAAAAAAGAAAAAATTGGTTACTTTTAAGACCTAGTTATGCAATTTTTTCCCCTGCGTCGCTTAAACACGAAACTTTCGACGAATACTTCCAGCATTCAGCGGCAACAATTTCTATTTTGCCAAGATACGAAATTCGTGTAACAGTAGAAACTTTCTTCGATTTTTATGGTTCATGAACGTCTTAGATCACGAACAACTTTTTCAAAAGAAAAATGTATTAGATGACGAAAAATGTCTCGAGATACGAATAAGTCAGCGGCATCAAATGAACTCTAAAATGCAATTCACGAGGCGTAGGAAGGAAATACATGCAAAAGATGAAGGTGGAAGGGAAGATGTTCTTAGTTGTTTTATCCGCGAAATCTATGCAAAGTGAGGTAAAGTACAAGGTATATAGTACAATATCGCTCTGTTAAGGCAGTGGTAAGACGTAGCATAAGTACTTGCAATGACAATGCCATGGTTTGCTTTAGGAAAATTTTAAAACAAACGCACAAACAAACGTTTCAAACAATAACTTTTTGCACCTTTTATTTCTTCACCGTTTTCTACTTACGACGTTAACTTTCCTTCGTAAAAATACAGTAAAATTTCAATGAAGTTTTTCTATTTTTTTATTTATTTAGCATTAGATTAAATATTGTGCATATATTAGTATTGTGTATGTGTTAAGATTTCCTGAATTCCATCGGATTTCATTACGAATTTACATGCAGAATAAGAATACTCTTTTCTAAGCAATCACTTAGGATCAAAGAAACGATTATTTCATTTTACATTAATTTCTTCGGGAAAAATTGTTTCAATTTACGGATACTTCAGATGACGAACTATCTTCGGGAACGAATTAAGTTTGTAAACCAAGATTTCACTGTAATTAATATCAAATAAATTTATTAAATTTAAATAAAGTTTATTATTTCAATTTAGCTTAGTTTTCGGTATTATTATTCGATACTGGCAAAGAACAATACAAATATCTGTTTAAGCGGAGGGATACCTTCGCCGAGGACTTTCCAAAAAAAAAAAAAAAAAAAAAAAAAATTCCTATTCACATTAGGGAGAGAACCAAAAAAAGTACATTTAATAATACAGTCAGCCCCTCCGTGAGGTTTTGAGACCCATAAATATAATAAATCAAATATTTTTTAGCCACAGCACTTTTAAAAAGCAACTACAGATACAATAACACGCCGAACAAGTATTAATTTAGTCATACATAAAAAAATAGCGTTATATTTTCAAATAACGCGTTAAATTTTCAAAATTTGAAAATATAACGCTGATTTTTGTTGTTCGACTTCTAAATTAACAACAGTTAAGTCTAAAAGTGACTAATATATGGTTGGTCATATGAAAGAAATAAAAATACTCAGAATAGATTAAAATAATTATTTTTTTTTATATTTCAATGTTTTCAATCCTTTATAAGGGCGACAAATAAGTATTTTAAATTGAAACGCACTCAAACACATGTTGTTATTACTGATCTAATCAGAACAAACCCACGTATCGTGCCTGGCCTGAGGCTTGAGCACCATATAAACGACAGTCCAACTTCATGTTCAGTTCCGTTCCAGTTACGGATCATCTGAGGATCTCCCACCCCTCTTAGCCTACCATCACCCTCTCGAGAGACTTTTGGCTAGCCGCATATTTTGCCTCCATGCCGCACAGACACTGCACATTATAGCCAAAGAATCCATAGAGATTCTTTGTTATAGCGTCGCTAACCACGTCCCCGTCTGGGCGGCACTCGAATACAAAGAATACTGGAGCTCTTTAAAACAAAACGTTTAATGCACATAATCATATTATTCTTTTTTACTATCATAGGACTGAATCTATAAATTAATGAGACGCCTGATGAAGTAAGTATTCATAAAAAATATGAAATTCGATATATTATAAATTATGTCCAATAGAAGTACTTCCCGCTTTATGAAATTTCATTTTTACAAAACTTCTAAATTGTACCCCCCTTTTTTTTTCGTTTAATAGAGAAAGTGTGCTAAGCATTACTTTATTTATTGGTAGTTTCTTTACAATCTATATGCAGTTACAACATGCACATATCTATTATATTTCTTACTACGTGTTCTCAAGGTACTAACGTACTAAAGCAAAAGAAATACCTCATCTTCATATTAAAAGTTCAGAAAATAGTATTTACTTAACACAGATTTTTTGGTGATGCTTCTGTGCTTCGCATCGCTGGCCACACACTTTCAGAATCACATTCAGACAAGAACAGAGAGAAGAAAATCAAGCGACTTACCTAGAAAGAAAAAAAAAAAAAAAAAAAAAAAAAAAAAAGAACGTAAGATATATACAAGTCAAAGCAAAAGTGAAAAACATAAAATAATAATAATAACAGTGCATGCGAATTTTGTTTTGAACAAAAGTGGGGAATTTCCCCAATAAGGTACTTTTTATATAATTTTATAAAATAAAAATTACTAACAACTGCATTTCATTATGCCCATCTCGCACTCACCACTCTCATACTGTTTTCCTTAAAAGCAATTACGTCGCGATATATCCAAACTACAAAAAACTCTCTCATTGGGACCATCTCTGAAAATGAGCAATATTTATGAATAAATAAATACGCATTGATATTGAATACCTCTAAAAATCGACTTTCAACACAGACTATCATAATCATTTGGAACTGCGGACGGTTGTCTTACAGACGGTTAACTGTGTTTATCAGAGCGGAACTCATTAGGGCTATTCTACCCATCGGCAGAATTGCTTTCTTGAGAAACATCCTAAAAGAAGACAAATATTTACATTAAGCATAGAAAAAGGCATAAAGGTATCATGCAAAAGATACCGCTTGAAACAAACAGAATCAGAAACGAGTCAGAAATGCTTCAAAATAGGCTGGTTATAACGCCATCGGAATTCCGAGCATTATATCAGTTGATAAATACATATTATAATGCGTATTGTATCATATTACACACTTATGCGTACTATATTAGTTTACTAACTGTAACATCAGTTACGTTACGTACTAACTATATCAGTTACGTACGCATTATATGAGTTACGAACAAGTACTATCAGCGACGCCTCGGTACTTTCAGTATTATATCAGTGACGTGTAAGTGCTGTCAGTACTATATCAATTAAGTGTAAAACACTACCTCAATTACGTGAACGTACTATATCAATAACCAGCGGCGTAGCTAGGATGGGGCAAGTGGGGACATTTGTCCCCGGGCGCAGCATCCAAGGGGCGCCAAATTGATGCTACGAAATTTTTTAATGAAATGTTTTCATCCTTGGCACACAGAAAGGGGCGCAAATTCTTCAGTTGCCCCGGGCGCTGGAAACTCTAGCTACGCCCCTGTCAATAACATCAGAACAAGCCCAAGAAGTGCTCTTCTCGATCAGAAATCCTCTAGTTAATGACGTCACTGCTTCATAGTCTCCTCCAGAGCAATCCTTGGAAAAACTAAATCAGAATGACATCTTCATTCCTTCCTCTTCTACAGTCATGTGATGTTAATGAATTCAAGCGCTGGGAAGAACACGGCCCTTGTTTTGTAAGGATCTTAAGTTTTACTAACGTTTATTTTATTTTAAATCTTTACTATCACTTATTTTCTACTTCCGGCCAGAATTAAAAGCTTTAACTTATTTATGCAAATTTGTCTTGCGAACGCCAAGTACTTAAGTTGTGGCTTTTTGCCAAGCACGAGGGAGGAAGGAGTTAGTAGAAGCAGGCCGCTTGCCTTAGCAGTTTTATTCGGTTGCTGGTTGCCTTCAAGGCCAGAGGTTTAATCCTCTTGATAATTTTAAACGTATCGTAGTGTTAACAGTTCTCTGTACTACATACGGCCTTTCTGTTAATATACGGCCAATCTTCGAGTAGACACTTGTTTATTAATCCAAAGTTAGTTTAGTTAGAATTTAGTTAATATTTTTTATTTCTTACGTTCAGACCACAAGTGGTTGGTCTCTGTATTCCGAAGTCCGGAATTCATTGTAAAGAGAGAAAAATAAAGGGTTTCGTATACCCTTCCTGTGTATCTTGTCTACTTCCCACATTTATTGAACATAGCTTTAGTAAGCTCCCTGTTCCGAGTCAGGTCATTAATGTTCCCCAAGAAAGTAAGGAAGAAACACTGAACCTGATAGTGGCGCCCGACGAAGAAGAATAACCATGGCCGAGTTTCAAGAAGAACCTGTGCTGCCTGCAGAAGCGGCTCAGAATCCAGAAATGCCAGCTGCCGCCCTGGAAGGATTTGGTTACATCGTCCAGTCCAGACCATGCGCGCTTCGATGAAACCAGAAGCAACATTTAATGGAAACTCACCGGTAACCAGTTTTTTGGAAAAATTGGATGACCACTTCATGCTGTATCCCGTGCATGAGTTCCAGAAAGTCACCTTAGCTACCAGCGCTTTGAGGGGCCAAGCGCTTAATTGGTTCAAATGTATAGGCAGAAGCTCTTGGGTCAAGCAGGAAGTCCCACCTATACTTACGAAAATTTCAAGACTGCCCTTAGTAAAAGCCTTCCCTGTCGTAAGGATCGTGCAAAATTAGAAACGGAACTTTTCAGCATATATCAGCAACGAATCGAAAATCTCTCAAGCCTTTATTTTAAGAAAAATTCACGTCTTCAAACTCTTGTATGGAAACCGTCCGGATCCTGAGATAATTCAAGTGATTTTGCCGAGGTTACTTCCCCAAGTACAAGACTTTATTGAATTAAGGAATCCGACTACACTGGAAAAGTTATTTGAGCTAGCAATCCAGTTTGAAAGTAGAAGAACGGCGGACATTGAAAGAAGACGCCAATATGAGCAACGAAACCAATTTGGTGCGCCAAGACCACAGCAAAGTCAAGCACACGGCTACGGAAGCAAAGCGAATCAGTGGGCAAGGAAACCCGAGTATCCAAAAACAACCGGCGAACGTCGACAGTTCAATAGTAATCCAGGAAAAAAGTCTGAAGGCCAGTGGAAAAAGAAGGAAAGCACGGAAAGGAAAAAACAAGATTTAAACTAAAACGGATTTCTGCTGACGGGAGGGTGCGGAAATCCGAAGGCCAAGAAAACCCCTCTTCCTTCAAGTTAAATACAGTGATGGTGAAAAATTTGACTCTTCCAAAGATTGAAGTGTTGGTGAATAACATCCCAGCCACCGCACTCCTGGATACAGGCGCGCAGTGTTCCTGTGTGGCAGAAGATTTTTTTAGGAAGTATTTTCGGAAATACCGCATATATAATTCGGATAATACGACAGTGTTAGCTGCGCAGGGAGAAAGATGTAAGTGCATAGGTAAATTACCGCTATACGTTCGTATCAAGGACGAACAAGTAAAGATTATGTTTTTTATAGTAAAGAATCTGCAAGCACATATCAATCTTTAGGGATAGATTTTTCTTTCAGAGGCAGAAGCAACGCTGGATTTTAATGAAGCGTCCCTTAAGCTGACGATGAAACCACTTCGAGAAGAGAAAACAGAACCACCAATGTTAAACCTTGACCACCTGCCTAAGGAAGAGCAACAAAAAATCCGACAAGTGGTAAGTGAATTTGCTTCGTTATTTAGTGATATTCCAGGATTTACTCAAGTTACTAAACATAGTATCGACACCGGAGATTCACTGCCAGTTCGCCACAAACCATACCGGTATGATAAGATATAGAAGAAAAAAAAAAAAATTATAGAGTGGCACATTAGAGATATGTTACGTAAAAAGATCATAACGCCCATCTCAAGTAGTTATGCTAGCCCGGTGGTTTTATGTAAGAAAAACAATGACTATCCAGTAACACATCCAAAAAGGTGGCGTTTTGCGATTGACTATCGTAAATTAAACTCCATGACTAAATATCCGGTATATCCGTTACCTATTATTGAAGAAATTCTAAAGGAACATAACGTTCTACCAAATACATGACGACTTTAGACTTAACGACTGGTTATTTTCAAATAGGGGTTAGACCGGAAGATGTGCCTAAGACTGCTTTTATAACCAAGTCTGGCACTTATGCATTCCTGCGTATGCCGTTTGGCCTTTCAGGGGCACCGGCAAACATTTCAGCGATGTATGGACATTGTGCTAAGGCCTGTTCTTGGAAAGTCCACATTTATCTATTTAGACGATATCATTATTACTAGTGATAATCTGACCAACATGTACAGGATTTAAGACAGGTGTTTTCATTATTAAATGAGGCCGGTCTAAAAGTTAATGTCGAAAAGTGCAAATTTGCAGCCCCTGAATTAAAATACTTAGGTTACAAAATATCTCAGAAAGGAATCGAGACAGACGAATCAAAAATAATCGCTGTGCAAAAGTATCCGCCGCCAAATACGGCGAAGAAGCTCTCTTCTTTTCTAGGACTTTGTTCATATTATAGGTCCTTTATAAAAGATTTTGCAGCTATTGCTGAACCATTGTTAAAATTAAAAAGGAAAAAGGCAAGATTCTCGTGGACGGCCGAAGCCAATAGTGCTTTCGAAAAATTAAAGCAAGCATTAACGCAAGCCCCTGTTTTGAAATTTCCTGAAAACGATGAGAATTTAGAAATTTCAGCGGATGCTTCGGATTATGCGGTAGGAGCGGTACTTTCGCAAAATCAGCAGCCCGTGGCATTTTTTAGTAGAACTTTAAATCAAAAACACAAAGAAATTATTCCGCGACTGAGAGAGAGGCACTTGCAGTTCTGTTAGCAGTGCAAAAGTTCCGAGTCTATTTTGGAAGGGCGCCAATAACAGTGTATTCTGATCATGCGGCGGTAGAAGTAACTAGATTGTACTCAGGGAAAAAACTTATCCCAAGGTTAATAAGATGGGCACTCAAGTTACAAGAGTATAATCTGGTAATCAAGCACACCCCGGAAAGGAAAATATCGTAGCAGATGCCCTATCCAGAATAAAAATAGATGAAGAAGGTAATACTGTAAAGGTGGCAATGCTCACAGCATGTACAATAAATTCCCGAGAAACTGTAATAACCGAACTGGGTAAGGATCCTGAATTTAAAAATATTTATGAGTATTTAAAGGATCCTGAAAATTTTAGCCACCAAGATATTGTGGCGATAAGAAATAGGGCGGCCCATTACGAACTAATAGATGGTCTATTATTTTATACAAAAACTACGAATTCCAACAACGAATTTCGACCTGTTATCCCAGCTAGTCTTAGATTAAATATACCTGCAGGAGTTACACGACTAGCCCTTTAGCTTCTCATGCTGGTATTCGAAAAAACTATCCAACGCGTACGCGAAGCAGTTATTTTTCCTG